GTTACTCCAAGATCATGCATACACAAGCTGGACTGTAAACTTAGGATTTTGCTCCACCTTTATTTGTACCATCATGTACTACAGATCTGAACATTTATGTGATGATCTCACGTTCGTGTACTGGTACACAATCATTGAACCCACGGAGGTCTCTGCCGCTGGTTTTACCTCTATTTCCCATGGTTTACTGGGGATGCAAAAAAACAGATTACTCCACACGATTTAGTAACAAAACGAACAACATTCCACACGATTTTTCATGTAGATGGGCAATTAATGAACGTTGTATTCCCAACCATCATTCCTCGGAGGCTAGGAACATCTAGTACGGCAGTCTATCTACCTGTTCATGCTTAACAGACAGCTAATTAAGCGGCCGGCCCCATTAGTAAATAACACTATTCAAGGAGTCGGATCGCGTGTCAAGTCAGTGCAAAACGAGTAGATGAACGTGCGCGAGAGTCCATTGGTCATGGTCCTAATCCTCAAAATAATCTAGCTAAAATATGCTAAGTGTTCAATATTTTCTGAGGAAAATGTAGTGATCGATAAATTAGTGAAAATAGTTTATTCTTTATGGAGAATTTTCTAGTTTTGATGAATTTCATTCCATGTAAATATGTATTGGAAGTTGGAATGCCTAAAGTATTGGTGCATTAGGGCATCTCATACGCGGATCCCTAAAACGGATGTAGTATTCGTCCGCGGACATGAATATGACAGCCGGCCATCAAATCATGTCCCCTGAATGTCCGTCCCGCGTCCCTGCCTTGGCCCGGCCCCTGCACCCCATCCCCGGCCATGCCCGCCACCCCCGCCGCCCTTCTTTTTGCCAACCACCCCATCATTTGCCTTCTTTTTGGGAAGCAGGTTTGTCATGTCACCAAGTTGATCTTTCTGGTGGACACCTTCTATGGATCCTCCGCCTTCGCCGGCTCCGATATCTCGTTGTACGGGTCCATGCGGTGGCAGAAAGCCAACGGGAATTAGGGTGGAGGGTTGCGGCGATCGGAGCGAAGAGGGTGGGGAATGTGCGAGCTTTGGCGCAAAAGCAGTGTAGATGTGGCCAAATGTATGGGCTCCGGGTGGGGTTTTGGGTGGGACGGGGGTGTCCGAGTCCTATGTAGCGGAGGTCCATACTTCGGCAAAGCCCCCCCGGTATGCTTCCAGTTTTGCGGGAAAACGGGCGCGCGTATACGTCCATTTTGCATCACTATTTTCGTATCATAAATTACTACCATTCTAATGCATTTTTCCTCTTCATTTGCATGTATTATCGAAAGATGAAAATTGCCAACAAGCTGCGGAAAAGGAGAAAATAAGGACTAGTGAAGAAATTATTATTTTCAAAGACCAAAAATCAAATAAAATACATATGGAGTTTTCTCACGGGCTGCCCGTGGGGTCCACATGTCCCCAAATTGTGACCAACCCCTGGGCCACTCCAAGAATTAGTGAAGGGCATGTCGATGTAATGATGCCTTCATTGTTCTGTCCATAGATGGATGTGCAACCCTCCACAAGCAAGGGATCAAAATTGTTTCCATGTCGCTGCATGGTTTAATGCTAGCAAAAAAGCCTCATGAAGGGGATGACGCCGACCGTTGCCTACAAAGATGGGCGAAGGTGGACAAAAGGATATGGAGTTGGGGTTCAAATTTACCAACTCCACTCTACATTGGCAAGACACCGGAGAATTTTTTTTTTGAAGGTGGGATGCCCAGCCCGACCTTCAAGAACTCTGAGGGCACCACATATGCCGTCGCCGGGATAGGAACCTCCTGGCCATCGCAGGGGCCACCTCACACACATGGAAGGAGGTAGTAGCCCTTGCCCCTTGAATTGCTGCAGGATGGCCTCACTCAAATTGCATTTGCACCACCCATCTTGGTCAGCGCAGTAGCGAGTCATATCTGGCTATGAGGAGAAGTGACGATTGAAGAAGAAGGGGAACGAGAGAGGTACAAATTTGCTGGTCTAAAAAGTGCTTTCTAGTTATACTGCCCTACCCCTCGCGGGGGCAAGGGGACACTCAAACTTTTGAGAGAATTCACTTGGCATGACAACTCAGGCAAATTTCGTGTTCAGGGGACACGATATTTTGCTACCACTCAAATCTTGAGGCAGTCATAATCCCGGCTAGGATATGGTCCCTCACATATTTTTCGGGGCACTAGGAACCCTGATCGTTTTGGGTCAAGGTTTCAGCACGGGTATGATTGTCAATCTGCTCGGATGAGATCATGATTTCGGGGAGGACTCAAAAACTTTGGCGACTGATGCACCAGGTCCCTTTGGGGAGGTAATGGAAAGGGCTCTTGAGAGGGAGGCGCTAGAAAATACTTCCCTAGGCTTCCTCCCCTAAGAGAAAATGAGTCCTACGTTGTCGGTGTAAATCCAGGCAGACCCTTTGGTAGGGTATCACGACTAGCCGGAAAGCCCAGAGGGTAAACATGAGAGCTGTTTATGAAGGAAATATGCCCTAGAGGCGATAATAAAGTTATTATTTATTTCCTTATTTCATGATAAATGTTTATTATTCATGCTAGAATTGTATTAACCGGAAACTTAGTACATGTGTGAATACATAGACAAAACATATTGTCCCTAGTACGCCTCTACTTGACTAGCTCCTTAATCAAAGATGGTTATGTTTCCTAACCATAGACATGTGTTGTCATTTCATGAACGGTATTATCATTCGGAGAATGATGTGATGGACATGACCCATCCTTTAGCTTAGCATTATGATTGTTACAGTTTCATTGCTACTCTTTCTTCATGACTTATACAAGTTCCTCAGACTATGAGATTATGCAACTCCCGAATACCGGAGGAACACTTTGTGTGCTATCACACGTCACAATGTAAATGGGTGATTATAAAGATGCTCTACAGGTGTCTCTGAAGGTGTTTGTTGGGTTGGCATAGATCGAGATTAGGATTTGTCACTCCATGTTTCAGAGAGGTATCTCTGGGCCCTCTCAGTAATACGCATCACTATAAGCCTTGCAAGCATTGTGACTAATGAGTTAGTTGCGGGATGAAGTATTACGAAACGAGTAAAGAGACTTGCCGGTAACGAGCTTGAACTAGGTATGATGATACTGACGATCGAATCTTAGGCAAGTAACATACCGATGACAAAGGGAACAACGTATGTTGTTATGCGGTTTGCCAACAAAGATCTTCGTAGAATATGTAGGAGTCAATATGAGCATCCAGGTTCCGCTATTGGTTATTGACTGGAGATGTGTCTCGGTCATGTCTACATAGTTCTCAAACCCGTAGGGTCCGCACGCTTAACGTTCGATGACGATTTGTATTATGAGTTATGTGTTTTGATGACCGAAATTTGTTCAGAGTCCCGGATGATATCACGGACATGACGAGGAGTCTCTAAATGGTCGAGACATAAAGATTGATATATTGGAAGGCTACATTCGGACACCAGAATGATTCGGGTCGTTTCGGATAAGTTTCGGAGTACCGGGGGTTACCGGAACCCCCTCCG